TGGAGATTTGGTAGAAACACGTGTTAGATCTCTATCACACGTTTCAATACGATGTCTAAAAAGTTAGACTTAATGACGGTTTCGTGAAACCTCCCCAGGTGTTCGGTGTCGGGGATCTGGGCAGCGTTTCATGAAACCGTCATAAGTACAAGTCCAACAACATCCCACTGAAATGTGTGTATTAAGTTTAACACACGTTTCAATGGTCGGTGAACTTGTAGTTATGACGGTCTCATGAAACGCTGCCCAGATCCAGTGGATGCCTGGTACTGGGAGGCGCACGCCCCCCTTTTTTTTCTCCCGAAAAAAATGTGTTCGCATACATATTCTGTTTAAGCATTTGGATAGGCCTCAGAATCTGCCAAAAGGCTAAGATTGTCCGGGGACCGCATCCAGTTGAAGGCTTCATTCTCGCAATTTCGTTTATTTCAAGCTTCCTCCCCCCCCCCTCCCCTGTAAAGTCTTTGATCTGCCCCTGGATGTATGGCCGGGTAACCTGGCGCTACAGTCGTTTGTAGAAAAAAATGTTGCTGGGCGCTGTCGCCTGGTTAATGACTCTAACCACAAAAAGTAGGTCTTAAAATAGCGTTAATGACTACCGGACGCAAATCAAACACATGTTGGATGTGATACAAAAACGGGTCAATACATATTGCATCATTTTTCCAAAACTGGTCAATGACTTTTATGTCGCAGCTCGTATCGGGTGCCCAAGTCCAGATTCTCATCTACCAGAACTTTATTACCAGCGGCTGCTTCGAATAATTTGAAAAAACCTCCTGCCACTTTCTTAAAAGATCCTTCTAAACATATTTATTCCTCTTTTAATTAAATGTCACATTCATAATTGTTGATTCTATGTATCATATGTGGTTTCGTAGATGTGATGTCACCCTTTGTTTTAAGCGCTACTATCTAAATGTTTTATTCATTATTCTTTTTTTATCTGTAACATCTGGGGGTGTTTCACAAGATTCTAAGTCGAACTTTACTCTAAGTTGGACTTAGATGTTATGGAGACCCTTTTGTAGCCCTATAATGAGATACATTCAAAAGCAAAATTCAAGTATTTTTGACTTTTCATAAATTCCACATCAAGAACATGAAATCTCCCAAGATAATAGAAAATATGAATGATTTGAATCAACATTTTATGCCTTTGAAATAATATTTACAAAATATTGTCAATGATGCTAACGGCTTTCAATAATTTTTAAATCCAACTTGGAGATCAACTTAGGATCTTTGTGAAACACCCTCAGGTAGAGTTCAATCATGGAAACTTTGCGTTATAGATTCTTGGTTCAATGCAGCTTTTATAGCTAATTTTCGCGATTTTTATCATTCCAATCATTCTCATAGGTGCGTGGAAAGAAGACAAGAAAGCTGGACAGAAAGAGGAAACTAAAACTGGGAAGGCGGCCACTGAAGAGCTGCATCAAGAAGGCATCCCCATTAATGAGCATGGTAAAGAACTCGGTTCGAATCTAACAATAGCTTTATCGATATATGTTGAACACCCTTCCACCAATAAGAGAATGCCCACGTAAAAAATGCTGTGAAACATCATCATCACCATCACAAAGTAAACGTATAAGTGGCCTAAACATAAAATGTCAATTGTAAATGTTATTCACTTATATACAAAAAAAAAAAAAAAAAAAAAAATCTGGAGGTAATTTTACTGGAACAATCCTGCCCCCTCCCTGCCCCCCTCCTTCCCACAAACATACTCACCCACCCACACACATACTCACCCACCCACCCCCACACACACATACTACTCACTCAGTGGATGTCTGCTAACATTCTCAACTCAAGAAAAATATACTAAATAAGTTATCCAGGCCGCAAAATAGAGTTACCCTTTTAACAGGCTCACGATGGAGAAGAAGAAAACAATCTTAATTAATCTTAAGCTTCTCCCACTTTAAGAAATGTGATCCCAGCTTTCCCATTTTAATTGCTATTTTTTTTTTCTCCTCATCCCTATACTTAAAAATGTTTTTTTTTTCATCTTTTCTAAAGTTGGTACTCGCCCCCCCCCGATCTTGACATAAATGTAACATACTTCACCATGAAAATGATAGTATTACACATTTTTATTCTATATGAACTACCTACCAACTCAACCCATATACCTCGCCATTCTAAATCTTCAATTTCATCTAACTCAAAAAGTTGTATTAAAGCCTGCCAAATCCTTTGAACGCTCCCGCAAGATAAAAATAAATGTTTGTATGTTTCTAATTCCTGCTTACAAAACGAACATAAATTATCACCTACACAACCAAATCTATGAAGATGCTCATGAGTGTATATGGCTCCATGCAATAATTTAAATTGAAATTCTCGTTGTTTTCTAATGAGTATAGTAATTTTTGGTCTAACAAACATTTATTTTAATTCTTTATCTATAAAATCATAATCATTTTGCAAATCTTGAACCCACATTCACAAACTGTATTTTTTTACTAGAAATATGGAAATAAGTATTAAAGCTTATCAAATCAACCTCGAGGAATTGTATTAACCCTGAATCATCCTTCCATAACCTGGGTATCGCATCATAAATATCAATAATCATAAGCAAATTATTACCTTTCATACCGAGGTTCATAAAATATTTAACAGACTTAACATGGCCTTTCTCAACCAAGTGATTCAGTTGAACAATCCCTCTTTCAAACAAGTATCTATCAAATATACTTTTTCCATTTATACATATGTTCCGATTATTAAAAATAATTGGATTAATATAACCCTCCAAATATCTTAAATTACTTGTCTCTTGCCATGCTTGCAACATTTCCATATAGTATGGTGGAGTATCTAAAACGAGTTTAATCTTTTTTAATTCATAATCACTTAAAAAAATAAATCTACCACCCACAAACTGTAAGCAATGATCACAAAACAATTTCCATCCCACATTTGTCTCTCCATATAAAAGACGTTTTATCCACATTATGCGCTGTATTTTAACAGACATTTCAAAATTAATCATTCTTAATCCTCCAAAGTCATAATCCTGATACATTATTGCCCGCTTAATTCTATCTTTCCCCTTCCATATAAATTCAAATGAAATTTGTGCAACTTCTTTGTATACCCAATGAGGGACAATAACGAGAGATGAAATATAATTTAATTTTGAAAGCGCATACGTTTTTAACAAATGTATTTTACCCATAATAGTTAAATCTCTTTGTTTCCACCATACAACCAATTTTTTTATTTTACTTAGATTTCATTATAATTCAAATCAACTAAACCCTAAAATATGTATTTCCTTAACCAAATTTCCAAATAAAGGCCCATCAGGTTTGTTCTCATCCTCATCCATCCACATAAAATGTGTCTTTGTTTTATTCACTCTAAGACCACTAATTTGTTCAAATGATTCAAAAATATATCGCAACCTTCTAACCGAATCAATATCCTTCAAAAATATTGTCACTTTTCATCTGCATATAACACTTGCCTAATTTCAGATTTTCCAAATGTAATCCCTTTAATACCGTTGTCCCTCCTTATTGCATGCGCCAAAACTTCGATGGCAACCAAAAACAAATATGGCGATAATGAATCTCCTTGCCTTACTCCCCTTTCTATTTCAAAATACACCGTGGAGTGACCACCGTTCATAACACAACTACTTATCCATTTATACAATAATTTTACCCAAGAGCAAAATGAATCTCCAAAACCGAACAATTTAAATATTTGAAATAAATAAATATGAGATACAGAGTCGAAAGCTTTCTCAAAATCCACTGCACACAAAAACCTAGAATAAAATACCATGTACAGATAGACGCAATCACATCCACACACACGCAAACACACACGCACACGAGCGCGTACGCACACACATAATTTATATGGATATATTTATATATTTCGTCCTTTTGTCAAATGGTTCTTTCATATATTATCATGCACGCAGTAATACTTTTATGGGTAAATTTTTACTTGCCCATGTTATTTTCGTATCAATTTATACGAGTAGACCTAATCATCTCTTGATTTGTTATTTGTTGTTCGTCATATAGGTGAAAAAGAGGGTAAGGAGGAAAAAGAAGATATGGAAAAAGCCCCAAACGGTGGCACTTCCGTAGAAAACACCGGTAAAGACGGTAAGAAAAAAACAAGGCATTCTAACTGTTGGCGGAAACACGAACAAACAAACAAAACTAAACAACAAACCCTAGCATAGCCCCATACTTCCTCTTCAATCTTCTTTGATCCCATCCACTCTTCCTTAAGATACAAGTGAATTTTTTCACGTACTGGCATTGCAATTTTTTCTGGAGTTCCTCAATGAACCATACTAGGTCCCAGTCTATACTAAAGCTAACGATATGATACACAGTATTGCCTACTAGGACAAGCTCCCACTTCATAAATATCTTATAGATTAAAGCGTACAAATAGATAATGAAATTATTCAAGGACATGTAAAAAACAGTCATGCTTAACAATAATGATAATATTATTTGATATTTATATAGCGCACATTTTCATCATGTATGGTGCTCAAGGCTTAATTAATCGAAAGATTAAATGCAAATTAGCGCTTAGAGACTTCGGTGGTAAGCGCTTTATAAGTAACGTTTTTATTATTATTATTAAATACGTATTTACTGCACACTATGTAACCATGTTCAAGTGTAAGGTTTATGAGGTGAATCTTTACGCGGCTTACTAGGTTTTATGTTTAATTCACCAGCTTTGCTCTAAAACCTTCAAATATAAACTATTCCCAATCCAGATTTGTATCTATCGAAAAAAAGTTTAACATCGGCTGCTTCGGAAACGCGGAACAGCATATTTTTTAAAATCTTATTTTTTCTTTATATTCTGTAGTTTTGTAGATGTTATGGTAGTCTTTATTTTTAGAGGTGCTAAATAAATTTTTTATTAAATATTGTGTTTTTTCTGTAACAAGAGTTCAATCACGGAACTTACCATTTATAGTTCCATGGTTCAATATTGTTCGCATAGTTAATTTCCACGATGTGTATTCTGGTAGGTGAAAGAAACCTAGACAAAAAAGCTGGACAAACAGAGGGAACGGAGACTGGGAACGCGGCCATTGAGGAGGAGGTGCATCAACAAATCACCCCCATTAACAAGCAAGGTAAAAAACTATGTTCAAATATACAAAAATAGTTATATCGATATTTATATCATAGCCCCACTGTCCTACTTTTAGCTACTTGCTCCCTCCATATAAAAAAATTCCCCAATCGGTGCCTGTCGGTGGTCCCCCATGATCCTCTTTTGCTTATGTTAGTTGAAAGCTGAGTTGACCCTGTAGTATTGACGGTCTTTAAATACCCTTCCACCAAAAAAGGAAATGCCTGAGATGTATCTGCGGGTTTGAATGATTTTAACAGAAAACTGTACCTTATAAATGCAGTGAAACATCATCATCACCATCACCATCCTCATCAATGTCACCATCCTCCTCGTCATGATAGTCACCATCCTCATCTTCATCGTTATCATCATTACCATATAACACGGTGATAACATGAGGTGGTTCACCTGACTGTTTGATTTGAATGTTCCACTATCCTTGAGCAACACGTGTATTGGATTAAAGTTACTTGACCAATATGATTATGTTACCTTTCCGGTTGGTAAGGCATATCAGTCTCCTTGAAACCTAATTTATACAACTGATATTTGATAATTTCCCACAACTACAACATAATAATTGTTACATAATACTCCCGTGTTAAATTTTATATTTTGACCTAGCGAATTCACTTTAGGATTCTTTCACTTGACAACGTAATACGATAAAGACAGACAGATAGACATGTCTACACGCGCACGCACACACCCACATACACACCCATACATATACATGTATTCATATATTTCATCCTTTTGCCCTAGGTTATTTGATATATCATGCGCGTGTTACTTCATAATGTGTAACCTTATAGTTGCATTCTTCTATTTAAATCAATTTATATTTGTAGGTCTTGGTGAAAAGAAGGGTAAAGTGGAAAAAGAAGGTATGGAGACAGCCACAAACGGTGACAAACTCGTAAAAAATACCGGTAAAGAAGATAAGAGAGTAAGAATACATATAAATGAGCCTAATATGCATTTCATTCCAAAGTCTTTAGTTTGTTTCCCTTTGTGACGGGCACAAGAAAGGGTATTTTTTTTCTTGGGGGGGGGGGGGGCGGATTTAGAGCTGGTAGCAATAGACAATGATTCAGAGGGGATTCATGAAGATAACACTAGTGTGGAAGATAACAGCGTGTATTAATGTAAACACAAAATGCAAATATAAATATATATCAAAATGAGATATAAGTAAATTAGTTTTCATTTTTAAAACTTAACGAATCTCTAAGACGGAAAAACGTACTTGCGAATTCTAATTCTTATAGGTACAAGTCAGAACAGAGAGGAAATAAAATCTTCAGGAATAGAAGCGAAGGACACTAACAACGTGGTTGCTGAGATATCCGAAGAAGATAATCCTAGTAATAAGAAAAAAGGTAAAATAAAACAGATTTACATAACCATGAAGACAGATGTGGAATGATATATAAATTGGAAAAAAATAATAAAATCTACCAAAATATAAAGCAGAGGAGGGTTTTGTTGTTGCTCACCCCTAGATAAAGGCGTTATCATATCTAAAATAAAAATAACAGTTATCGTAAATATAGTAGACCCAAACTATGCATACGGTGCTCCCTAACGAGAAATCAAAGATGAATAAGCACGATAAAAGCTTTACAAAATGCCTCGAAGCTCGCATAAATCGTACTTTTATTATGTTTTTGTAGATGCCAATCATGGGAAAGAAAGCGACAAAGCTCCGGAGGAAGAAGCAAGCCTCAATAATAATGGGACCGATGGAGAACAAGTTAGTCTTGATGATGGTAAATATATGAACAGGCTTCAATGATAAAAACACTACTCTTTGGTTGTAGAGCAGTAGATAGAACCCTTTACAAGTTACGCAAACAGTTGTAGTTTGAATCAGTCTCTTAAGAGTGCATTTCCACCCAAAATGACTCCTTCAAGAGCAGATTACATTCGTGTATATATAGAGAGTACCAGTACTCCTATCTGTAAGTATTCTTCAGATGCGGAGCGGTCAACCGCCGCAAAAAAAGCTACCTCGGTTTTTTAACGGTTAGGATGAATGGCAACTGCCCGCACAATTATTGTAAAGCATATTTCACTTAACGTTATGGTGAAAAGAACCGCCAATGTTTATCTTAACGAGCCTTTAATCATCATTTGAAAAAATGAGGACAAAATAGCACAGTGAGCTCCATATTGTAAGACAAATATTGCTTTATTTCCAAAATACAATTTTGAAACAACACGATCGCAAGTACTTCCTAAAAATAATCCTAAGAAGGCAATTCCAATAGCATCGTGCGTCACCCAATAAAATGTTCGAACATGCAGTGGGGTTAACCATGATTCCTTTGGGACATACAATCGGGTATTGAATTGCCCTTCAGCTGATCTTTGTCGATCGTGTTCATAACCCACAGTGGTATTTGAATCACTTGACAAGGAGGGCTTTTTCGTATGAGTCCCATAAACAAAGCAAACGAAAAATAGGTCATATTTTGGTTATTAAGATCAGATATTTAAGTAGACTCATGGGAAAATATATTAATGATATTTTCATAAATATTTGATTTGATTTGGATTTTTTTTAAACACCATGTTAGAAGGTTACATGAATATATAAACATGTAATATGAGACCGTTAGGGTACAAATCGTAGGTATACAGCAGAATATCACTGATTTGACTGCTAATATTTATCCCATGTTTAAACTTTTCTACATTTCTATCGGAATAAAAAAAATCTTTCGTCAAGAGTTGTTATTTTTATCCTCTTCTTTATTTCCAGATTTTGAACACGTTTCCAAGGAAGGTATTATATCTACATGTTGTATAATATAAACACTTCATTTATTAGCAACTAAAACAAAATATGCATCTTTACACTTTCTTATTGTTTTTCTGCACGAAATATTTCATGATTTTACATTATATTAAAATGTTTTCCTCCATATTCTTCATCAAAGGTTCATTCATTCATCATATGTATTACATTTCGACTATAAAAACTTGTTCTTGTCCACTGGTATTGAATTGGAAATCATAATGCCCGATAATATTATACAATGAAGTTTTGTAGGCATTTTTTATTGTCATTTCATGTAAGAAGAATTACCTTTAAATTTCAAACTTCTTTTTCGGTACTCAAAGTAAGTCTTGAAAGAAAAATCACTTTTGTTGGTATTTGATATTCGCTCTCCATTTTTATCTTTTATTTGCCTACACTCATTCAAATTGTTCATGATTAACGAACATAAATTGTGGTCAGTATTTCGTATTTGCCTTTTTATCTAAGGATGTGATTTTCCAAAAGAGATAAGACCTGGGCCCTGTTTCATTAAAACTTGTTATCAGTAACAAATACTAAATTTCTATGACAAAGTTGCTCTTGGCCAATCAAATGTCACGATTTCACTAACTTATAACAGATATTGAATATTTCTATTGATATCAAGTTTTATGAAACAGGGCCCTGAGTGTCACTGGACATGAATATGGAATCGTTTGGTTAAACTTGCTGACAAGTTAGCAGAAAGGCTCTAACAGAATATATTTGCCGGCACTGTATGCAATTGTCCACAAAATGTTGCAATAGGAAAAGGGGCAAGAGTTTTCCCGGTGCAGCTTTCCTCGTTCATTAGCGAGGCCTCTGAATAGTAAAATGGCAGGTACATTTCTTTGTACTGACCTTCTCCTTTTCATTATTACATATGATCTAACTTAAGATGTGGTGCAAGAGATGAGCAGAGATGGAGCTGCAGCATCGAAGGAGAACACCACTGTAAACGTTGACACGAAGGAGCAAGGTAACTTTCTTTACAACATATCCAATACAGATTTAGCTTTAACGGCATGTGTACGGTTCTTGCAATATGTTGTTATGAATGATGCAATTACATTTTCATTTAAATCTTCATGTTTCGAAAGAACGTCATGAAGTCAATGAATTTGATGTCAATAAATTGATGCTGTATTATTGCACTTCAGGGCCTTGTTTCGTGAAACTCGATATCAATAACAAGTTGCAATAACTTTTATAAGCTACTGATATTGTGGCATTTGAGCAAATTTGTCATTTTTTTTAGTTTTAAGAATCAGGAACCTGTTCTGTAATGTATTAACTATTGCTCTCCTGGAGAGAGAGAGAGAGAGAGGGAGAGAGAGAGTGGAAAAAGTGCGTGTGTGTGTGTTGGGGGGGGGGTGGGGTGGTAGGGAGCTATTCTTTCACTCTTATACTATACAGTAGGTTTGCGGGTGCACCATGTGTGGGGGAGAGAGTTTGAGGAGTCCTGAAAAGGACTCTGACTCGGTAATCTTGGTTGGAGGAGTGTAGTCCTGAAAAGGACTGTTTGTTATCTTTCTTAGTATATAGCTCTCAGGAGAACTATAGCGCTTGGAGAGGATGAGTGGCTTGACGTTTCGAACAGGTTGACTATCCGTCGTCTGGAGTGGAGAATAGCTGGCGTGCGAGAGCTTACTCTTATATCATATATCTTTTTGGCTCGCGTAAATGCATATCGACATGCGGGGTTCAACCTTACCTCAAAATTGCTGCGTTTCGTGAATCATTCCTATTTTCTTCCGCAGGTAACACATCAGATGGGTCGGACGAGCATAGGAGAGAGGAGAGTTCCAAAACTCCTCTTCAGGTAAAAGCGATTTCAAGAACCCAGGCTTTCAGTTAATCTTGTGACTTCACAATCTCCGAACCCACATAGGCTTAATACATCGGGTAATAGACTAGAAGAGCCATATAGGAGTGAGAGGAACATAAGAGATGACAATTTCGGAGTTTGTCTGCACACACTCGTAAAATGGGCAATTGGGGACAAAAAGCTATATTTGGTAATAATCAAAACATTTAGTGATTTCGAGAGTCCATGCATTCATTTAACTGCGGACCTGCGATAAAGAAAGAAAGAGGTACACGATTTATCATAAACACAGAATTTTCTCAATTGTTTGTATATCACTGTAATTTAGTTATATCATGTTCATTTTCGAAACATAATCAATATGAATAAAGGCAAGTCAATATCATTTTATATTAGATTATATTATCATATCATAATTGCACATTTTAATTCATGACAAGTTTATTGAAATTGCCTAAAGGTTGAAATTTTGATTGTCGTTGTGATTGTGTTGTACATAGTCCTAAGATAAATAAATATAATGCACAATCTATATTTACAATGATGCATGAGTTTATTGCAGCTAAAACTTTTGTACCAATGCAACAGAAAACATGTTTGAAAATTGCTTATTCATTCGTATTCTTATAATATTGTTCTATATACTACACGCGGTAAAAAGGCATCTGCATTATATTTAAGAGTAAATGTTATATGTTGTTATTAATTAGCTGCCTTCCATTGAATTGTGTTATATTTATAATGACACAAGAATCTTTATTTTAAAAGAGACTTATACTTACATGTAAGACATATGTATATAAGACTTTGTTTATACTTGTATCTAACATTTCTATTATGATCATGTATCGTACTGTAAAAATAAATAGTTCTACAAATAAGTGTACATGAATAAAAACAAAGAATGTATTATATATAGATAGATATATAGATGGAATAGAGCGTAAAGGGGTTCCTATATTTAGAAATCTTAAACAATCTGTTGGTGCTCAAATTAAGCCTTGTTTTCATGTAAGCTTATTTTGTTTATCTCTTTTTTTTTAATTGCGAAAATATATTGGATTTTTAAGTGAGAATTTGCCTTGATTTCAAATATTTGTTTAACTTCAACATGATATACGAACAAAAGGATCTGGTAATACACCATAATTAATACTTGTTATTTAGTGTTTGATTTTAACATTTTGAAGTTCAGTTGTGTTTGAAATTAATTTATGGAACGCCATGTGTCAAAGTCTTCATTTCGTGCACATGTCTAAAGTACTTAACAACTTAACCACAAGAAAGTCATCGTGTTTATTAAATAAAGACAAACAACTCACCACGCTACAAAATAAAGCCATTCCTTAAGTTCATTTACAGAAGGATATTGAATGTTGCCAGGTGATGCTGCATTATTGAGAAGACAGACATCCCCCTCCCATTCAGACGGGGTTTAAAGCTCGCCTATAAAAGTTACCTCACTTTTAAAAACTTGTATCTTACGTCACATTCTGATATTGTAGATCAGGTTGTAGTTTGATGTATGTAATATATAGTCAAGTATCAACAGTTTGTATATTATACTTGTATCTAACATTTCTATCATGATTTTGTAATGTACCGTGAAATAGAGAGTTCTACAAATAATTATATTCATGAATATAATCAAAGACTTTAATATGTCATTATATTCTGCTGCTGCCTGCTTATATATATATATATATGAAAAGAAAAAAAAAGACGTAAAAGGAGTTTATATATTAACAAAAATCTTAAACAATATATCGGTGCCGAAATTAAAGCCTAATTTGTTTCTCTCTTTTTCTTGTAATTGCGGTTAAATATTTTGTATTTGAAAGTGAAAATTTGCCTTGTTTTCAAATATTTGTATAACTTCCACATGATATAATGAGGATCGGGCAATCCACCATAACTATTTAAAGTTTGTGTTTACAGTTCATTTATGGAACGCCTCGTGTCAAAGTCTTCATTTTTGTTTAAGATACCTAAACAACTTAAACACAAGAAAGTCATCATGTTTATCAAATAAAGAGAAACATTCACCACAATTCAAAATAAAAAAATTCCTAAGTCTATTTCAGACTTGATCCTATGTTAAATGGATATTGAAGACCTGCCATGGTATTTCGCGTAAAGATCTTTACTCCTTTCGACCCCTCCAAAATAAAGCAGCACGGCTCATCCATTGTAAACCAAACATTTGCCCCTCTTATCACTGATCTTTAATGGATTCGCGTTAATAATCGTACCATACATAACACCTTCACTTTCACTTACAAGTGTCTTAATAATCAGGCCACAGCATACCTAGGTAATCTACTCCATTCGCTCACATCCATGTATACAGTATAATACATGATCAGCATGTAGTGAAACACTAACTCTCCCTCGAACCAGTAAACAGATAGGTGATAGGGCTTTTCCCGTTATTGCCCCCACAAACTAAAAATTCTTACCCTCTGTACTTCAGAATTGCCATACTCTGAAAACACATTTGTTTTCTAATTTGTTGTAATATTCCTCTTTATTTATAATTAATATAAGCTTCGTATGATAATGTTCTCTATTTTTGTTAATTTATATTTCTTGTTTATGTGCTTTGTACCGAAAGAAAGTGGCTTTATAAATGTTATATTATTATCATTATTATGTTATATTACATTTTATTATACTATACTATGCCCCCTACTGATCTATGACAGCTACTTCACTTGTGTTATTTTTACGTCACGTTCTGATATTGTAGATTAGGTTATAGTTTGATGTACATAATATACAGCTAAGTATCAATAGTTTGCTTATATAATACGATTGGAAATATTTAAACTAATCACGTATATGCTCATATATACAAACAATTGCATTGTGAGGGGTAATAAATGATGGTAGTTATTAGGTTATTTACTTTACAAAGTTTTCGTTTTTCCATTTCATTTTATGTCAACCACTTGCTGTTTGTCCCAATATTTTAACAAGTTGATTGTATGACCGTTTGTACTAATCCTTTTAATGTTTAAATAATCGTGGTAGATTCTTATTGAAAAGCTATTATGGTTATAACCACTGTGACTTTGAGTTAAATTTCATTTTAAAGAGTAACTGATAGTGTGTCGAATGTACCTTATTCATATGGATGACTGAGCTTTTGCCTTTTCAAAAAACAATTGTCTAACTCCGCTTGTGCAAAGTTTTGGCTGAAGTAGTGAATGTAGGTCAAAAGGCGTTACATACTGTTATTTCAGTCCGAAAACGATTTCTGACTTAATATTCACATTAATGTTGTGCATTTGTGACAATGTCAAGTCAGACTCAAGAAAAAGTATCATTCAAAAGCAAAATTTATGATTTTTTCTTCATATGATGACACAATCGATCTTTGCTCTTCTCGTTAAATTGAGTTATTCAAAATGGACAAAGTTATTTGCGATGCTATCTTTTTGTCTTTATGTAAGTCTACTATCCATATCTTTGGAATCGATCAATGTATTGTTTTTTGCATCTACTAAAACATTGAATGTATATCTAGTGAACGTAGACCTCTTAGAGATTATACAAATACCGTACGCATCTAACGCACCTTGACTGCAGTTAAGCACGTACTGTTACCTGCACGAAGATGTGGCAATCTGTGCACGCACTATTACGTGCTACGCCCTCTCCACATTCAAATTGTTAGCATGGCGCTATACTGTATATCTATCCCTACGCTGCCACTAGCACCTGAATATCAAACTTTAGAATTTGAACAGTTGATGCCGCTCTTTCACCCCCCATCAAAAAAAAAGAATGGGTATGTGAGTTGTATTTTCAGATTTACGTGTGTCCCAAATGCCGTAGCACAGAGTGATACAGTATGAAAATAGCCTTCAGCTGTCAAGTGGTTGATCTTCATGAAGTGGTGCAATAGAAAAGTTATGAGATAGATCTCAAATATTGTGATAAGTTATTAGGCTGTATGAAATAAATATCTGTTTACCTGTCGAATGGACCAAGGTCCTGTAAAAGCTTATTTAGAGTCTACATTATATCACTTTAAACAATGAAACATTAAAACATTATGAACAATATTGAAAGGCTTAAAGACCAAAGTAACGTGTGCATGTATCATGTATATTGCCTGACCCACACTACATTCACTGCATCAGCCCGAACTTGGTACAAGGAGATTTTGACAGCACTTTTCGTACTCAGTCATCCGTGAAAGTGAAACATTTGAATAGAAGGGACTATACTCATATAAACAACGACATACTCTTTACCGTAGTATACGCCTATATGTGAAGGTAAAATTTGACTTGTGATAATAAACAACCAAAGTCAGGTATATATTTTTTGATAAATACGCACTCTATGTCAAACAAAATGATATGAAAAATAATGACATCACTTTATGCACTTGCAAATATTAAATATTTGTACACTATTTATTATTTGATGTAAGGGGGTAGGGCTACAAACGGGTATCGTGAGACACCCTATCTCGCTCTACAATGACGTGTTGGGTGTTTACAAACATAAGGCACAATATTTAAATATATATATATATATATATATATATATATAGTTATATATATATATATTTATATATATAACTATTTCTCGTTTTGTGCATGTGCCACTTGTCACTGCTCTGCATGCGTTTGCATTCGAAGTGAGGAGAGTCACGTGATCAAAAACCTGAAGATTAAAAATTACCGATGAATGAGATTGAGCAAAAACAGATGGAAATTCGGCCGGCGTTCCCTCCCCCCCCCCCCCCCCCCCCCCCCCCCCAAAAAAAAAAAAAAAAAAAAAAAATCAACATGTGTTTTTTGTTTACATTTGGGTTTCCCGTCGTGTTTATGGGTAGTTGCCTACAAAACTCCGCAGTTTTAGAAGAAGTAAAAACGGTTTTAGCTTCCAATGTGAATGCCCCTGATGAGTATTCAACCGACTCGTATTATCTTCTAAAGTTCGCTAGAAATCACCCTCATGTTTGTACTATTTGTTTGCATTTGATATTTGATCATATCGCATAATTAAATAATGCTAGTTGCTTAATAGCGTAAAATACACCTTGCAGTTGTTATTCATTTTGTAAGTACACAGCACCGGTAGTTCTGACTATCTTGGAAAATTCATATCGGGGCAAGAGACGTGAGCCACCCTGACCGAATTTTACATGTACGCCTACGATATGGAAAAATAATGCACCCCATTTGTTTACTTTTGTGATTCGTTATTTTTATTTCAAATTTGGGAGGGTGGTAGACTTAGATCATTTCGGGAGTGTCGTGGTCGAGTGGTTTAAGGCGCTTGAGCTGGAGATGCGAAGGTCAAGGGTTCGCATCCCGACACGGCACTAATATAGTTTGGCAAGATATAACCTGCACTTG